TCGATTATATACAAACAATAAATAGAAATATAGATAATATAGCAGTCCAAGGGAGGCTACTCGTGTTTTTATTAGTTATATGTTTTGGCCCTTGGATATTATTAAGCGTTTCTTTTAAAAAAAAAAAAATCATTGACCGAGCAGCCAATGGTACTTTGGTTGAAATTTATATAATCTTTCTATTAAAGCAATTTTTCAGGAAAATTAGTTTCACAAGTCCAGTCACTGATATCTTTCTTCCCAGCTTTGTAGGATTCCTTTCTACCTGTTAAATGTTAAAAACCTATTATGGGATCAAGACTCTACTTGCTTACAAGATCAGTCTAAACCAAAAAAGACTAGTTTTCCAGCATGAATTGGTTCATATGAAAACAAAGCAGCCTCTTAGAATATTTGCCCATTAACACAAAACTTCCAGATAAGTCAAAATAATGAAAAGCCATGAAGTTACCAATAATAAAGTGACCTTACGCAATCTAAGAAAGACCACAAGGAAAGAACTCAAGGATTTGAATGTTAGTACTATGATAATCTTTCACGTAAAAGTACGCTTTGCAACCTCTACACAAACGTTCAGAAAAATATGACCAAAGGCTGCATAGATAACATCTCATGCAGCTGTGGCAGAGAAAACAAGTAATAGTAAACCAGGTATTATCTAGAAAGAAACAACTAACTCAGGTTTAGCAGAGCATGTGTTGAAGGTGTTTGTTCAAAGTAAAAGACATTGATCCACAATGGACAGTTGAAGAAAGCCTTGCATATAAATACATAAGGAAAATAAATATAGAGTTTAGCATCATATGGAAAGCTGTGCTTAGAAAAATCTATTTTCGACAGAGTTGGAAAATCTACTGCAAAATTTCTGTTGTTTTCTTTTATTGTTATTTTTACTCTCAGCTATAGGTAAATAGAAGCACATATAGCCTTGGGTGGCAACCAGTCTAGGAGAAGGAAAATTCTGAGTTCAAAACTGTATGTAGCCCTGGCGAAGCACATGCTATGCAGCTAAGGAAAGAGACGTTTACATTGACTTGATGATCCAGACTACAGTCAACTAGAACATGGGGAGCTTTTATATATTCTATTTAAAATAGAATGACTGAGTGGATTCTATAGCCATGGGTGGCAACCAGTCTAGGAGAAGGAAAGCTCTGAATTCTAAATTCGACTAGAACATGGGGAGCTTTTAATTCTATATAAATAGTAGAACAGACTGGATTTTATAGCCTTGAGTGGCAACGGGTCTAGGAGAAGAAAAACTGAATTCAAAATTTGACTAGAACATCTTTTAATTCTATATAAATAGTAGTACAGGCTGGATTCTATAGCCTTGGGTGGCAACGGGTCTAGAAGAAGGAAAACTCTGAATTCAAAATTTGACTAGAATGTGTGGAGCTTTTAATTCTATATAAATAGTAGAACAGGCTGAATTCTATAGCCTTGGGTGGCAACAGGTCTAGGAGAAGGAAAACTCTGAATTTAAAATCTGTAGCCCTGGTGAAGCACATGCTATGAAAATATGGAAAGGAACGGTCACATTGACTTAATCATCCTGATTATGGTCAACCTATTATTATTTATTACTATTGTTGTTTTCCCTATTTGTGTTGTCCCTTTGAATTCTGTCTGTTTCTTTTTGCGATAATTAAATTTTTGCCTCGAGTTGAGAAGAAGAAAACTTGTTGATGGCACAACTATTTACTGTTTCTTAATGGTAAGTCTGTTCAGTTTGAAAAGGTCAAATCGACAGCTGAGCTCAAAAAAATGACCTTCAATCTGTTTGTCAATTTGGGCAAGAAATAGCTTGTTAATTTTAGTGCCTCAAAAACAAAACTGCTGTCTTTGAGTTATCTTGGAGAACCTTTTTTTACTTCCTATCAACATGGTTGATGCTAACCTGCTGGAGAGCAACTCATTGTGGCTTCTTTGTCTCATGTTAACCCCAGACATGAAATGAATCGATTATATTGAATCAATTGCTAGGTCTGCTGCTAGGAAAGTTGGTTTAATGTATCATGCTAGACAATCTTTCTTGGCAGAATCTCTTTTACACATTTATGTCTATCATTTGTCCCTGCATTAAAATATTGCTGTCATATCTGGTCTGTTGTTTTTGCTATATATTTAGAGATTCTTGATAAAATCCAAAGAAGAATCTGCAATGTTATTGGTCGTACACTGGGATCTTGGCTTCCATCACTTTCAAACCATCATAATTTTTCTAAATATTTTCATGGTAATTGTTCTAAGGAGCTCTTCTCTTTGGTACTTAGATGTTATGAATTTAAGTGCAGTACTAGATTGGCAGTTAGGTCTTACAGTTGAAATTGTTAGATTTAACAATAAGGTTTATCCTAAGAGTTTTTTTTAATCATTTCACCCCAAACAAGCTACTAGGATGGAAGTGGTTACTGAGTGTTAGAAAATATGAAAAAAACAAATATTAAGGAGAGAAGACAATAAAAGAATAAGAATTAAGAAGACAGATATGTAAGATAGATTCTGACGATAAAAATTGTCTGGCACAACATAGTGAAGCAACTTTCTTCACTGCAGATTTAGTATTTGATTCAATATACTCTTTCCACTTCATGTCTAAGAAGATGCAATGAGTCACCCTTGGGGAGGTTAGCATCAGCCATACTGATGGAAGGTGAAAAGGTTTCTCTCAGAAGATTAAAAGATAGCATTTTTGTTTTGGATTTGGAGATGTTAAAACTAAAAACCTGTTTCCTTGTAGGTCCTTTTTGAGATCAGCTGCCAATTTGACATTGTCAAACTAATCAGACTTACAATTCCAACCTCTTACTTTCCAGTCAACTTTGATCTTCAAAAATTTAAATGCATTGTCAATCATTATTTTTTGTTTTCTTAATCCCTTTTCTTTTATTGTTCTTGTTCCTTAATAATATTTTTTCTCATATTCTTTCACACTCAGTAACCCCTTGTGTCTTAGGAGATTTATTCCCTTGCTTGGGGTGAAATGATAAAAAAAAAAAAAAAAAATATATATATATATATATATATATATATATATATATATATATATATATACCGGGTGTAACGGCAAAATTGTCCAATTGTAAGATTAAGCTTTGAACTGTTGTATTTTAGAAATGATTAAAGATATCTTACTGGAATTTTCAAAGGTTTTTATAATACTATTGGACTCTACTTTGAACAATAAGAATGTATTTAGCTCTAAGTTGAAATGATGATCCCTCTTGTGGTTGTGACCTGGTTCAGTTTTCCTCTCTACTGTTTCCTCTTTTTTAAACTTATTCACCATTTTCTTGATAGTTCTTGAATGGACTTTGAAGATGGAAGCCAGAGTATGAATGTTGGTACAATTACTGAAGGACTGAATGATCTTTTTCCTCTCACCATTGCTCAGTTGGGAAGATAGTGGGGCTGACACAAAATGATTTTAACCTGTTTTCTTTTTAGCTGAATAACTCAAAAGCTTTTTCGTTGATTCTTATGATAAATGGTGTCAAGATGGCTAAATATTTTATCTGAAAACTTGGAAAAAAGAAACTCAATTAGTTTAGCAGATTTTTTAGATATTAAACATTTTGTGGGATAGACAGTTATCCCATGCTGTTACACCCAGTATATATATATATATATATATATATATAATTTAAATGTAATATTTGCGCAAAAAGTGCATATCTAGTAAAACTAATAAAAATACAGAGCCCTAAATATAAAAATAGAATAATTATATAATTATATGAAACATTCATAAATATTTTTATCCATAAATAGTTCCTTCCAGTGCTGCCTGACAGTAATGAGAGCCTCATTATGTTAAGTCATCTTCCATCTATGTTGTCAACAACAGGGGTATGAAACATTTGTACAGTGTTTCTGCATTCTTTCCTGATGACATAAAGTTCTTATTCTCTCAAATACACACACACACACACACACACACACACACACACACACATATATATATATATATATATAATTAAATAATATATAATTAAAGAATAATCTACAGTTATTAGTTCCGATCTACCATCTCAGGTTCGCTGACTTTCCCACTGTTGAAATATAGCTTCTCTGTGCCTTTTCTATAAATACTTTCATGGTAAGTGTTATATATATATATATATATATATATATATATATATATATATATATATATATAATCATTTCTTGAATCATGTTCTTTTATTGCCTTTCACTTTACTAAAGTCTTCTCATTCTCTTTCAATTCCACTAGCCTTTTTAGTCTTAGTGGCTTTATCGTCTTGCTTAGGGTGAAAAGATTAAAACAAATATGTCAAAACTCCAATTAATAGCTTTTAATATTGTTTGTTCTCACATTAGTGCTATAAACACGAGACCTTCACAATCAGTCTTGCAATTCTATTCAAAAAATAAAGAAAAATTTATTGCACAAAAGACAATCTTTATTTGAAGAAGTTCAACAACTTCATCAATTAAAGTGTGCTGAAAACAACAAAGATGAAGACACTATTTACATTGCTTGGACTATCATCCTCATGTTTGTTGCCATATTTATCACAACGTTTCGGCTGTTGTACGCTCAGGCTTTCTTCAGGTGTTTGGAATGTTGAACTGAACCCTTTATTTTGCTCGCTGGGGTAGACTGTTCTAGTTTCACGTGCCATGTCTAATGGATATCAGTTATCAGTTATCTCCTATTAATTCCCCTCTCCAAGTTCTCCACTGCCTTAACCAGGTATTGAACTCACAACTCTTTGGGTCCTGTCACTGGATCTAACTAACGCCTTTATCCACTGTGCCATTATTTGGTATTTTTGTAATATTGTCTGTTATTGGGTGGAAAATAAAGTTTGGATGTTCTTTAATATGGTATAAATGTGGGCATGTAATGTTCTTTCCTATAGAACCATTGGAAAAAAACACTTTGAACAGGAAATAGCCTAGTTTTACCTTTGTAATATGAGAAACTGTTACTTGGCCTTAAGTACATGGTATTATTTTTTGTATATTTACAGGTTGGTCCTCTTACCCTGGTCAGGAATTGTCCTGGGTCACTCAGACTTGTTCCACAAAAGTCATCCACAAGGTTAGTTTTATTTATTTTGATTTCTTATGCCTTCACTTTAATTCTGTGAAAGAATTTTGTCTTCATTGGAAAATATGTATTTTTTATCATTAGAAACTTTCAAAGGCTTCAACTAGTGAATTGCTTCTTAGGATGTTGCAGATTTCATAAAGGACTAAAATTTTATCAAATTAGCAATCGCTGAGGAAATGTCATCCATTTTGTATTTATTAACATGGGTATAACTTTGCTTAACTTTTAGTGCATAACATAGGATTATCCCTTGTTTCCTGTTTAGATTTTGGTTTCCGGTTCCTTCTAAATTCTGCTTGAACTCAATATTTCTAACGTTTCTATATAAAGTCTGAAATTTTTACCATTTATTTATTTTTTTTTTTTTATTCCTTTTTATTTTTCATTTTTCCACAGTAGGAGTAGATAGGGTCACCTATTGTCCATTTCACACTCCTCCTTGGTCTTTCCAACAGGCTTAAAGGTTTTTCTCTTGTTTCCTGTTTAGGATTGGGTTTCTGGTTCTTTCTAAAGTCTTTTTCAACTCTATATTTCTAACGTCTCCAACTAAACTTTCAAATTTATACAGTTATTGGGTTTTCGGTTTCTTCTAAAGTTTTTTTCTTTTCTTTCACTTCCATTAGAACGCGTCTTAGTGGCATTATCGCCTTGCTCGGGGTGAACTGATTAAAAAAAGAATTTTGTTGTAAAAAAAAAAAAAACGTAAAAGTAATGAAACAATATAAAGGGAAATAAATTCAGTATTTTTATATTTTGATTACTTCCCCTGAACCGTCTCCATCGGCAAAAATAAATTTTAGGCTTTTTTTTTTTTTTTTTCTGAACCAAATTAGTCAATTTATGCAATTTATTTCTTTCGTTCGTGTCTTTAGTTGGAGATCGAAATGCACTTTTTTTTTTTTAAAAAATGGTTGATTGATTGATTATTTTTATTTATTTATTTTTTCTTTTTACATCAATACTTTATGGCTTATTTAAAGCCAAAACATATTTTGTATTGTGAGAATAATTCTTTTTCTTTTTATGAGTGAATATTGCATTAAAAATTTTTGGGAATAACAATGATTTTTCCAGAGGCAAGTCCTACTATTTAACCCATAACTGGGGGAGAAGATGAATTCATATCTTTCCCAATGATATGAGCATGTAAGTGAATATCACAAACCTGGCACTCAAAATTGGCTCCATGTTTTCATTCTGAATTGCTATCCATTTACAACACCTGCATGTCTTTTTTAAGTGGACATTTTTTTCTCAAGTATTAAATGAGCCCACCACTTGCAATTCCTCGCACTTTATTTTTACCGTAACTGCTTGAATTGGTCTCTTCTAGCTTTTTGTTTTTTTTTATTTTCAACTTTCATCTTCAAAAATTTAAAAGCAGCATCAATTGCCATCTTCTTTATTCCTGTAACCTGTTCTTTTATTGTCCTTTCTCCTCACTAAAGTTTTCTCATTCTCAGTAACCCCTTGCGTCTTAGTAGCATTATTGCCTTGCTTGAGGTGAAATTATTAAAAAGAAAAGAAAAAATATTGTATTCAAGGACAAATATCTCTTCTACTTTTTCTCCATAAAAACCACAATAACAGCTGATTTCAAAGGTTAAAGCAATATTTTTCAACCATTTTTTTTATCTCACGGCACATTTGAACCTAGGAGAGTTAAACATCAAAAAATTTAAATGCAATCTTGTGTCTTTTTTTCTGAATCCTGTTCGTTTAGATTTTTTTATTGTCCTTTCTGCTTGAACTCACTAAAGTTTCTTCTCCTTCTTTTTATGAGTCTTAATGGTCACCTATTGTCATTTTGTCTTGCTTGGGTGAAGTGATTAAAAAATGTTGTATTCAACGTCTGCAAACATCTCTATTACCTTTTTCTCAGTAACAATCACAATAACAATTGTTTACAGAGGTTAAATGCAACTGTCATCTCCTGTATTCCTGTAACCTGTTCTTTTATTGTCCTTAGTTGGAGATCGAAATGAAAAACCTTCACTGATTTAAAGTCTTCCCATTCTCTTTCATTCTTAGTAATCAAAAATTTTGCAATCTTGTGTCTTTTGAAGTGGCATTACTGCCTTTTGCTTTGAAGTGAAGTTATTAAAAAAAGAAAACAAAAAATGTTGTATTCAAGTGCAAACATCTCTATTACCTTTTCTTAGTAACAATCACAATAACAATTGTTTACAGAGGTTAAATGCAACTGTCATCTCCTGTATTCCTGTAACCTGTTCTTTTATTGTCCTTACTCTTCACTAAAGTCTTCCCATTCTCTTTCATTCTTAGTAATCCCCTTGCGTTTTAGTGGCGTTACTGCCTTGCTTGAAGTGAAGTTATTAAAAAAAGAAAACAAAAAATGTTGTATTCAAGGGCAAACATGTCTATTATCTTTTCACAGTAAGAATCACAATAACAATTGTTTACAGAGATTAATGCAAATGTTTTTTAAACCTTTTTATATCTCCCTTCAACCTTTTATTTAAACTTTCTCAGTATACTTAAGTTAAGATGATAAAAAAAGAGTATACTTTTTATGATTTATCTATTAACACAAATTAAACAGTTCATTATAATTTATAATAAAAATATAATAATTAAAATACTTAAAAAATTTATATTTATTCATTTTTCTGTTTATTATAATTTAATATATCTGGGCTTGGTGTCTTTTCAGAATATTTTTTTGCAAGGTTGGATTTTGGACTGGCATACTCTTAAATCTTCTTCTAAGGTTTCTAGTCATGATTGATTTTTGTTTTTACTATTGTTTGTTACCGAAAAGCTTCCTTTGTACACATATTGTGCTTTGGGCTTCTTTTGAAAATAATTTAATTAATGGCCTTTAAAAATTTTTGCCACACAACTAGAATCCCCTCATAGCACACCAGTGTACCACAGCACATTGGTTGAAAAACACTGTGGCAAAATAATAGGAAATTAAAGGGTCAAAGGAATTGAAGAAGATGAGGATGAGGAGGATGTTTTGAAGAGAAAAACAGTCAAAATTATTTGTTCATTTTCATTTCTTAATTACATTTGTATAGCATTTATTAAAAATTCCATTTTTAATTGCTATATTAAATTGACATATTTGGGAAGGATATTAGAATAATCCAAAGCCTATACTGGCAACAAACTGCCTGCATATGGATAAAAAAGAAGTTCCTGATTGGTTAATTGATTCGTTCATTTTATTTTGTTTTTTGATTGTAAGAAGTTTCTTTTTTTTTTATAATAATACTAAGGATACAATGGACCGAACACGTGAGCAACGATGAGGTTTTGGGGAGCATGCAAACAAAAAGGAAACTCATACTTAACATCAGTCAGAGGCAGATGAAATTTCCGGTACATGTAATGAGAAAAGAGGGCTTGGAGAACCTGATACTCACAGGGCGGACAGAGGAAAAGAGGGACAAAGGAAAGCAATGAGTGACATACTTAATGGGCTTAAGCAAGTGGATGGCAGAGCAAGGTCTGGGAGAAATAACAAAGACAGAACTTATTGACAGCTACAAGGGATAGGAGGAGGTGGAGAGCCATGATCGCCTACGTCCTGAAGGGACAAGGTACAGAAAAGAAGAATGATTTAGTGATCCTGATCTTACTAATTAATGTATAGTTGTGGGGAGAAGAGGTGGATATATATATCTTTCTCAAGGGTATTTATGTGTGTGAATATAATGAACCCATGGGAATTGGAACTTGGCTCTCTGATTAAAAATTCTGAGACATTATTTATTGCACCATCTGCATATCCAAGCTTACAGCAGCTGGTATTCCTAAGCAGTAACCCATCTAGGTACTGAACAGGCTCAATGTTGCTTAACTTTGGTGATCGTATGGGAAGTGTTGTTTCAATAAGCCCAAAGTGAATTCGGTAAATATACAAAAACAGAAAGGGTTGTAAGACAAGGATGTGTCTTCTCACCAGACTTATTCAGCCAATACAGGGAGATGATTTTGAGAGAATTAGAAATCCTACCAGGATTCATTATTGGCAGCCACAATCTTAACAAAATAAGATAAGCAGATGATAGTGTTAATAGCAGACAGAAAAAGGAAACTACAAGAACTTCTACAGAAGGTAGCGAAGGAAAGCAAGAAGAAAGGACTAAACATCAATTGAAAGAATGCATCAACGTGGTTGTTATCAAAAGAAACAGCCCAACGCGGTTGTTAGCAAAAGAAACAGGCCAATGTGGTAGTTAGCAAAAGAAACAGGCCAATGTGGTTGTTAACAAAAGAAACAGTTAACAAAAGAAAACGTGGTTGTTAACAAAAGAAACAGCCCAACGTGGTTGTTAGCAAAAGAAACAGGCCAACATGGTTGTTAACAAAAGAAACAGCCCAACGTGGTTGTTAGCAAAAGAAACAGGCCAATGGTTGTTAACAAAAGAAACAGTCCAAAAAGAAACAGGCCAATGTGGTTGTTAGTAAAAGAAGTAAAAGAAACAGGCCAGTGCAACATGGTTGTTAGCAAAAGAAACAGGCCAATGTGATTGTTAACAAAAGAAACAGCCCAACATGGTTGTTAGCAAAAGAAACAGGCCAATGTGGTTGTTAACAAAAGAAACAGTCCAACATGGTTGTTAGCAAAAGAAACAGTCCAATGTGGTTGTTAGCAAAAGAAACAGTCCAACATGGTTGTTAACAAAAGAAACAGCCCAACGTGGTTGTTAGCAAAGGAACAGCCGAATGTGAAAATTATAATTTGGAGATACTGAAATGAAACACGTACAACAATTTAAATATCTGGGAAGTGTTTTACAGAGGATGGAAAATGCAACACTAAAATCTGCAGGTGCATTGGGATAGCAAAAGATACCTTACAAATACTAAGCAAAGTAATAAGAAACAGAAAAAATATCATTCGAAACAAAGAAAAGTGTGCTGAACTGTTATGTAATATTGGTCCTCCTATATGGCAGTGTATACTGGACCATCTCCATACAGACTTTAGGTAACAGAATTGTGGTTCTACAGAAGGATATTGAGAATATCATGGACCAGACATGTGAGCAATGATGAAGTTCTAGATACAATGGAAACAAAAAGGAAACTTGTACTTAACATCAGGAGGAGACAGTTGAAATTTTTAAGGCACATAATGAGGAAAGAGTACTTGGAAAATTTGATACTCACAGGACTGATTGAAGGCAAGAGGACCAGAGGAAAACAACAAATAACATATTTAGTGAGCTTGAGTGAGTGAGTGAGTGAGTGAGTGAGTGAGTGAGTGGAGCATGGTTTGGGAGAGATAGCGAAAAGACAAAATTGATTAAGAGTTACAAAAGAAATGGAATTGTGGGGAGCCATAAATGCCAACATCCTGTAGGGACACAAGAAGAAGAAGAAGAAGAAGAAAAAAAAAAACAAGCAAAAAACATTAACATTATTATTATTTTGCAGTAAAAATAAAAAAAAATATTTTAACCTGGGTAAAATTAGGTAACCTTACTAGTTGAAATCAGATAAAGAGTATCAGTTATGCTTAAAGTATGTAATTTATTTTTGAAAGAATTTATTGACATTTTTCTTGTTTTAACCATTTCACTTCAAGGAAGGTGATAAAGCCACTAAGATGCAAGGGATTACTGAGAGTGAAGGAAACTGAGAAGGCATTACAGGACAATAAAAAGAAAATTTCATGGCTTTCCTATTTGGATTTTCTGATGAATTGTAATTCTTAAGTTAATGATTGAGTAAGCTCATGGTGAATTCTATGACAATAAAATATCCGTCTATATTTCTGAGATGAGTTATTGTAACTATTTACATTATTTACACTGTGGTCCTCATCTTTATTGCTATACTCATGATGTTTTGTTGTTCTAATTAGAACAATCTACTCCTGCGGACTAAATAACGGCTTCAGTTTAAAATTCAAAATGGCCGAAATGTTGTAAATATGGAAATAAAGATGTGGGCAACAATCTAAGCAATTTAAATATTGTTAATAAAATATCCATAGAAATTCCCCTATCATATTGTTAAATATTTGAGCTTAATAACCTCAACAAAATATTGCAATAAAAATCATATGAATGTGGGTTATTATTTTAAGAAGTAAGGGGGTACAAATTAAATGATTTGAAAATAACAACTTTTTCCATTCCATGATACACTATATATGGACGCATCTCTGAAACTCTTAATGGTCAGAGATTGGTGACTGATCTCTCTTCCAATCTTGCGCAAACTACCCAATGGGGTAAAAACTGGCTGGTTACATTCAATATCTCGAAGACCAAGCTAGTTACATTCTCTCATTGCTGATCTAACCCCGAACTACTACCAATCAGGATGAATGGAGGAATGGAGATCCTCTCAAGAAAGTACCGGGCCTTGAATGACTGCTGGGCCTCAAATGCACACCTGACCTGAAATGGAACTCATACTTATACTCCTATTACTAAGGATGCAGGTAAAATAGTCGGGTTCCCTGAACCGCTCCAGTAAGTACCTGATTCCTCCTGCTATCCTCTACTTTTACAAGTGCCATATGTGGGCCAAAGTGGTGTACTGTTATCATATTTTGGTAGGTTCTTCTCAGACCTCAGTCTCCATCCTTAATAGAGTTCAAAAGTGTCTCAGAGTTCTTGTGGGTGATGAATTATTCTCCACCTTTCAACCTCTCTCCCACAGTTGGGATGTGGTAAGCCTCTCACTGCTCTACCACTTCTTTCACAGAAAGTGCTTGGATGAATTATATTTCCTGATCTTGCCAAGGCAAATCTTTACAGCAAGAATATGCCACGCCACTTATATAGTAGCAGACTACTCACACTCCTTCTGAATTTCATTGGTGAGACATAAGTTCCGCTTGTGCAGCTGCTTCCTGTGAGCCACTGCCCTGTGGAACTGACTCCCAACAAGATGTTTCTCCAATCACTACAACCTTAACCTGTCCTAGGCTAGGGTTAACTGTTATCTTCCACTCTTATACATACTAATGACCTCCAAATGTAACCCCCTAACTCGAGTAGAAATGTAAATTTCTGAGATGAGGTATTATGTACACTATTTACATTATTCGGACTATTGTCCTCATCCTTGTTGCCATGTTTATCACAACATTTCAGCTGTTGTACACTCCGGCCTTCTTCAGGTGGTCGGGATATCAAACTGAACCCTTTATTTCGCTCACTGGGGTAGACTGTTCTAGTTTCATGTGCCATGTTTAATGGATGTCAGTTATCAGTTATTTCCGGGTATTGAACTCACACTCTTTGGGTCCTGTTACTGGATTTAACCAACACCTTTAACCAATGTGCCATGTGTCCTTGAGGACATCTGTGTAGGAATTTCTGAGTATTATAAACTTAATGTCTCAGCAACCATTTTTTACCAGAGCTCATATTGCAATTTTTGTTGTTATTGCTTTTCTCTGGCACTTCTTATTACTGGTTTCCATATTGTATTCATTTCTATGCTTGGTCAGTTCACTGTAAACCTCACTGTAAAAAAAAAAGAAAGAAGAAAATCCCTAACCCCTTGTTATTACCTTCGCGTGTGTTGATATGATTAAAAAAAGAACAAAATTGAATGTTGGCGTTATATACCCGACCTGGTCAAAAAAAAAAAAAATTCAGTAGATTTTTTTTACTTATTTAAGTCTATGTGGTTAGAAAAGTTTTGTTGTTGCTTAAACAAATACTCCACTGATTGTTTTATTTGAACAAGTGACTCTGTTTACAGGAAGCTGATATTTGGGACTAATTTGTCATACCACTTCTTTATGTGAAGATATTTTATTCTATTTATCGGACTTTCCTTCGAAATAACACTCAGTGAAGTTGAACTTGAGACTCCTCTTGTCATTTCATGTAGGTTGCAAATAGTTTCCCTTGTTAAAAAAAGGGACTTCTACGACTGAAAGAACAGGAAACTGCTGTGGTGTTAATTGTAGCCATTTATGGAAAAGCCGGTCAAATCACATTGCTAGCTGAGGATTGAAAGCAGGAAATGAAAGCTATAAATAGTTGTCATGAATAGCCTTGTGTAAAACATCTCAGTTTAAATTATCACATGCATATAAATATATATATATATATAGGATAATGATATATAAATTTTTATATATCAAGAACAGTTTTGGAGGAAAGATATATGACAATGTGGAAAGAGTTTTCATGTGACATGTTTCGTCCCTTAGGACTTCATCAGATGAAGTCCTAAGGGAGGAAATTCAATTGACCAAAATTGCCTGATGATACTGAAATGTTGAAATGAAGGTAGTGGAATCAGCTGATCTTGTAATTTTTATGCCTAGAATCTCTACATGTTAAATTTTTATATGTGTATTAAGCACTTTTTAATACTACTGTTTCATGGTCTAATTTAACTCTGACCATTAACATTATTATTATTATTATTATTATTATTATATATATATATATATATATATATATATATTTTAATGAAAACAGACCACTTTTAAGGTACCATTACAATAATTTATTTCACCAAAATCCTTTTTAAAGGACTCCGGATCATCAGGTAACGATTCCAACAATGAAACTTAAATATATATATATATATATGTATATATATATATATATATATATAAAAACCATTACAACAATTGCAGTTGCAATAAAACTACATTCCTTGATGAATGGATTTTGTGACAAGTTTTTATATACAAAAGCATAAATGTTGGTTTTCAAATTTTTTGGTATAGGAATTTTTTTGTATATAAATACTTGTCCCAAACTAAAATCCTTAATTTGCCTTGATAAAGTCCTTCAGAAGACAAAATGTCCATCAGCTAAGATAAGTTTTCCTTTAGTCTTTATTTATATTGTCCTTTTGCTGATATACTCTGGAATTTTATTTTTCCAACCTTCAAATAAAGTGTTGAGTATTGTGCTTGAAGTAGTGGATTAACTGTCCAAAGTTCATATTTTGTTAAAATATTTTCGACCATTGCAGTCATTATTAAAATTAACAGCAATAAATTTTTGAAAAAAAAAACTATTACCAGCAATACATTTTTGAAAAAATATTAACAGCAATACTTTTTTTGAAAAAAAAAATATTACCAGTAAAAAAAATCTTGCTGGTATTAAATAACCCACTGAGGTTGATATGCCATAAAACAAACCAAACCAAACCAAACCAATATTATTATTAGAAGAGGCTTGTGACATCTAGAAAGGGCATTGAATTGCAAGATATATTTTGTATACAAATTAAGAGTTAGACTGTGTAAAATCACAACATAGGTAGTGGAAAAAATGTAGCGTAAGAAATATATTTATATTTTCAAATGTTCATAGAATAAGAAACTTGAAAAAAAAGAAGAGAATAAATGTTTAAAGAATAAATAGAAGCAAACAAGCAAAATGACATTGTCAACAAAATATTCTACCCTTTGTCTCAATTGGTCTCAGAATCTCATTCCAATGCCTGATGCTATACAATCTTTTCATTTTATTTCAGGAGAATGTCGCCTATTACAGTTTTCCTTTTAACTTTGAATTGTTCTATAAAAAAGAACTGAATAAACTGAATACATCTGGTATGTAAAATATTTTTCTTTTTTTTTGGTTTTTTTTTTTTACCCTAAGCAAGGTGATAAAGCCACTAAAATGCAAGGGGGTTACTGAGTGTGAAAAAAATCTAAGAAAAAAGCATTATTAAAAAACATTATTAAGAAGAGAGAACAATAAAACAACAGGAATTAAGAAGTCAGAAGATGATGATTGACATTATATATATATATCTATATATATGGTCTGAAGATTGTCTTTAAACATGAAACAGACTGGCTGGCGAGTGTTGACCTCAATGTCCACTTTGATACTTACATACATTCTATTCTTGATATTGAGCACTTTAACCCATAAACATAGCAACTTTAAAACTATATTTTTATCATATATATATATATATGTAATTATATGTTTTACCAGTTTGTGACTGGAAGGGATAATTCTGAGGAGGATATAAATCCAGGGAGAGCTCAATGTAGATTACAGATCACTATAATGATAAGAAGAAGACGGAGACTTTAATTATCCATTTTGTTTATGATTTTTATTTTGTGAACACCAAGATGTTCAACTCATCAGAATGAAATCTCCTCCGCAAATAGTCCATTATTATTATAAGTGAAGAGATGAAATGGCAGAAACTCGTAGTAGTAGTAGTGTTAATGACTGTGTTAGGTTTATTATTATTATTATTAAAATTTACACCATCTCGCTCTTCTCTTTTCCAGAGGACGTACCTCACTTTCCAATTATTTATCTGGAAGTACTCTCCCTTGATTCATGGCAAAGGTATCGCACAGAAGGCTACAGCTATTTGACTATCCCACCAACTCCAGGTAAGTGTTTAAAAACTTTTCTCAGCCAATAAAAAAAAATATTGTAGCCATAATTTTTTTGTGGCAAAATTTATTTAATTATTTATTATTATTAAATTTTCTTAGGCTTCAAAAGTATAAACTTAGTTTTTTTGTTTTATAAGCTAAATAGTTATAAACAGACATTTTAGTAAGGTGACCACAAAAATTATAAGATGGCATTTATCATTCATTAATTACACAAACGAAAGTCCAAAAGAGATAATAATTGTGTGTTATAAAGTAAATCCTTACTGACAGTGACCTAAAAGCATTTATTTAAGAGCACATTATGTGTCAGGGTTATTCCATAGAGAGAATAGCTTTGAACGACCACCAAGCAAAGTCGTTTGTGATTGAAATAGTTCATAAAAAGTGTCTTGTTTTCTTGTCTGGATATTTTTTCTTACATTTTTTTTTACATTAGCGAGATGTCTTGAAATCTAAAAGCCTGTATCTGTGAACACAAAAGGGACGTACATTGGGACAACAATTTAAACTCACTCGTAATACACAGGAACAAGACTGGCCATGACTTTGAATTTACAAATGCTGCCCTAATAAAAAAAAGAACATAATTCTTTATGGTAAAAAATACTTTGAGGGAGTCCTGATAAAAATTTTACTAACTGTAAACACATGTCAAAAATACTATATTACATCACCAACCTTTATTAAATCCATTCTTAAAGAATCTAACATATATTTAACCACCACTACCATGACCAGTGGTAACATAAAAATATCCCCAAATTAACATGCAGACAAAATTCAAATACAAATAATACCTACTAGACACACATACACACACACATTATCATCCAAATCCTTCATAGACAAACTAGAATTATGATACACTTACATACATAATTATGACACCCTTACATCTTATTATGTATATGAACCCTGCTTGACAAATCAAATACAAGTGAACTCTGCTTAACCAATGAAAATAAAACAACACAAAAATTAAAAATATCAGATTTTTTTTTCTATATCTCATTCTCTGATGAAGCTTTGATAAAAGTGAACCATGTTAGATTTATCAACTTTTCCTATTTGTTTAATATTCTATCATATTTTTTCTATTTAAGTACACTGTTTATCTTGGATTCTCTGCAGTTTTTACCCTTCTTTATATTGCATTAGATAAAAAAAAAATGCACAGGGTTCAACTTGATCAAAAATAACCCAAAACTAAAAATCAGAAATTCAACTATTTTTTCTTTTTATACTATCATCAGTAAATACCTAAATAAAACAAAATCCATTTATTTTAGTAATGGCCTACCATAAAACATTTAGTCTCATTTTGCCTGATACTTAAGAAAACCAACTGACCTTGTTGGGTCACCAAATATATGTTGGGTGACCTTGGTATTATCTGGTATTTATTTTTTTTATTGGGTGACCTTGATATTATCTGGTATTTATTTTTTATTAGGTGACCTTGGTATTATATGGTATTTATTTTTTTATTAGGTGACTTTTGTATTATCTAGTATTTATTTTTTTTATTAGGTGACCTTTGTATTACTTGGTATTTTTTTTTATTGGGTGAACTTGTTATTATCTGGAATTTTTTTTATTAGGCAACCTTGCTATTATCTGGTATTTATTTTTTATTAAATGACCTTGGTATTATCTGGTATTTATTTTTTATTAAATGACCTTGGTATTATCTGGTATTTATTTTTTATTAAATGACCTTGGTATTATCTGGTATTTATTTTTTTTATTCGGTGACCTTGGTATTATCTGGTATTTTATCTTGGTATTAATTTCTAAAAAATAAATTTCTGTCTGAATTTCTGGGATGAGGAGTTACTATTACTTAGATTATCTACATTTGGACCAATATCGTCATCTTTGTCATTATTATCAAAATATAATGGCTGTTCTGCCCTATGCTCTTACTCAAGTGCCTGTTGATTTGGGTGACCTTTTTTATTTTTGTTTTAATCATTTCACCCCAAGCAAGGTAATAATGCCGCTAAAACTCAAAGGGTTACTCGAAGCGAAAGAGAATGAGAAGACTTTAGTGAAAAGAAAGGAGAATAAAAAGACAGGCTTCAGGAAGACAGAAAATAGTGATTGGTATTGCATTTAAATTTTTGAAGATTGTAGGTGGGAGGGAAGCAAGAAGAGAGATCCACAGGTGAGAAGTGTGAGAAAAGAAACTGTTAGAGTAGAAGTAGCAGTCGAGGAACCAATGAGGAATGCTCATCAGAACAATTGGCATGAAAATATTTGTAGAAAAGACAGAGGGAAGCCATATCACAGTGGTAAGAAAGTGACTGAAGTCAAAATGCCAGGTCAGGACCAATGACATTGCAGATTCTTCTTTGTATTTTATCAAGGAGTGCAGGGCTGATTACATTACAAACTCTTCATTGGAGAATCTGGAGATATATAGCAGAAGCACCAATGCACGAACAAATACTAAATTTATAAAAGTGAAAGAAGGATTCTGATAAAAAAAAATTATCTTACACAAAACCGTGAACCGACTTTCCTGGCAGAAGACCTAGCAATTAATTCATGAGAGATTCCTTAAATTGTTAAATGTAAGAAATATTCAAGGATAACATTATCTGTACCATCCAAAAAGAACAGTAATATTTAAATAATTATTCCAGTATCATTGATTAGATTTTCTAATGAAGGATTAGAATAGAATATCTCATTGCTAAGAAAAGGAGACCAGGCTGCATAACCAGTAAATAGATAAAGTCACATTGTGTTTTATATTAGATTGGTGACTGCTTGGGAATACCAACTGCTGTAAGCCTGGATATGTGGATGGTGTTATGGGTAATGACTTGGAATTGTTAAGCTGAGTTCCAATTCCCATTGAGTTCTTTATATTCACTTACATGCAAATACACTATGGGTTAATTAGTAATACTTGTATTACTAAACCATTATTATCTCCAAGAACAAATTCTTACAATATAAAAATATTTTCTGACTTTAAATAACCTACAAAGGGTTGATAAGCCATAAAAAATGAATGAATCAATCAAACTATTCATGATCTATCAGAAATCTTTTTACTTCTGACCTAAGGTTTTCTACAGATTTCTATTCTGTTTATCTGCCTCATTGTTTTAATGTATGTTTTTTAAATGTCATGTCCCTTTGAAATTGTGGTGATCATGGCTCTCCACAGATTTCTTTTCCTTTATTCTCTCTGAATTGCCATGAATTCTTTGGAAAGTAGTAGACTGGTTTCCTGTTGTCTTCTTCATGGTTAGATTTCTGAGTTTTCTTTCTCAGAGTCCAGTCTATCTTGTTATTTAACCCATAGTTATGGGGTAGGGGAAAAGAGATGGATCTATATCTTTCTCAAGGGTATTAGTGCAAAAGTGAATGCAGCAGACTAAACCAGAATTTAAGCTTGACTTTCTGTTTCTCCTTTATAGGCTGATAAACAGGATGTTACCCACGTATCTATTTTATGCGTTTATCATTCAGAATCTCTCAAGTGTCCAATTTTAAGAACTTAAAATGATTTGTGTATGTTAATATATATTAAGTGCTTCTCATTTATTATTAAATTTTCAACAGGAGTTTAAAAGTCAAATAATTTACCTTCTAACATGGCTGCCTCCCTGTGTCTCCTTGTAGAAAGGCAGGCCAGCTAATCTACCTCATTTATAGGAGAGTACCTAATACAGCATATGGGTTAGTCCATGTTAGAAGGTAAGTTATTTGACTTCTACAACTAGTAGATGGGTTTGCCTATCATCCGGTTCACACTCTTCCTCAGTCTTTTGAACAGGATTTGAGGTTTATCCTTTGTTTCTTGCATAGGATTGGGTTTCTGATTCCTTGTACAGTCTACTTCAGCTCTATACTTCTAACATCTCCAACTAAAATTTTATTTACTATTTAGTTATTATTTTCTTTACCTCAATAGGAGTAGATAGGTTTGCCTATCATTCGGTTCACACTCCTCTCCAGTTTTTCAACAGGAGTAAAGGTTTATCCCTTGTTTCCTTCTGAGGATTGGGTTTCCGGTTCCTTCAACTCTGTACTTCAGATGTCTCCACCTGAAATCTGAAATTTTATTCAGTAATTATTTTTTTTTCTCTCAAAGGAGTAGATAGGTTTGCCTATCATCTGGTTCACACTACTCTCTAATCTTTTGAACAGGAGTAGAGGTTTATCTCTTGTTTTCTTTTTAGGATTTGGTTTCAAGTTCTTTCTAAAGTCTTTTCATTATTTTTCCCTCCTAGTAACCTCCTGCATTAACATTACGCCTTGTTTGGGGGTGAGTTGATTAAAAAAAATATTAAGTTTTTCATTTTTGAGAACCTTGTCACCATTAATTGAATGCTATATTTTTATTTGTTTGTGTATATTGCTTGTTGAAATGACCAAGTGATACTATACACAAATAATTACAGATCATCATTCATATGAAGAATTAGCATAAAATGAGTGCAGTTTCAGAAATCTGTTTATTTTGTGGTCTTTTTATTTGAACTGCAAAATTGGGTGTCATTATTTTCACCTCTCAATCTCACTCCACTTTCCAATTTCCATTCATTGCGGTAGTGTAATGGATTGAGAAATTGATGAGTTAAGTTCAAATTCCAGTCAAGTTCCTGGCATTCACTTTCACATAAACACCTTTGGGAAAGGTATTGAGCCATCTTTTCCTCTTCACACAGCTGTTAGACTAAGATTCCTGGCTGTGGTTGGCAACCAGTCTAAGAAAAGGAAAAAAAATGAATTCAAAACTCAGCCACCTGAAGCTGTACAAAGATGGTCAGGTGCGGAGGCACAGATATTATGTCTAAAACAAAATCAGGATAGATTCCAACAACGACTATAAAGAATCCCACTTGAGAGCAATTACCCAGAATACTGTTGACACTAACTGGAAATTAATGAACATTGATAATGGTATTGCATCTAATTAAAGATTTAAAAAAGATTTAATTAAAAATAAAAATAAGAACAAAGTTTTTAAAATTTCGAAAAGATTTAATTTAAAAAAAAATAAATAAAAAATTAAAAAGATATAATTTATAAAAAAAAAAAAAAAAATTAAAAAAATTTAATTAAAAAAAAAAAAAATTAATTCAAAAATAAAAACTTAATTAAAAAATATAATAAAATTAAAGAAGGATTTAATTAAAAAATTAAATAAGATTTAAAATTTAAATTTAAAATTAAATTTAAAAACAATTTAATAAAAAATAAATAAAAATAAAAAATGCTTTAATTTATAGAAAATAAATAAAATATTAAAAATATAATTTATGAAAAATAAAATATTAAAAAAGATTCAAAAATGAAATGAATTAAAACAATTAATTAAAAAATAAAAGATTTAATTAAAAAAATTAAAAAGATTTAATTAAAAAATAATTTAAAGATATTGTATATTCTAAACAAAAATATTTACATTTAATGATTCTGCCTTTTCAGGTGAGGCACAGTTTTCTTAAAGGTGTCTCGTTAAATTTGATGTCATCCCATTGTGAGGAGTCATTTTTATTGTTTGAATTACTCTCAGTTAGTGACATTGACTGATATGTTTTTTTGTTTTGCTTGATCCAGGGTTACACAAAATGAAGATTGACTGTTGGAGACCGTGTGGCAATTCAATATTGGCCGAATTGCGACGTTTCTTCATTGGAGGTTCACCAGAACTGGAGGATCCAACTTACACAGGAATTCCGTCAACATTTGAGGTAAAAGCTGAAGAAATATTTTTACTTTTGAACTTTTTGCATAGATGTAGACAATACCAACATGTCTTGAATTATTTACACTATTTATATTTGCACTGTTATCCTCATCTTTATTGTTTTTCTTACAACGTTTTGGCTGTTGTGCTTTCCAGCCTTCCTCACGTGTATGTGGATAAAATAAGGAATTCTGAACTGAAGCCTTACAGGGTTAGACTGTTCACATTACATTAAAAAATTGTTTGCTTCATATGTTTCTCTCCAGTTGGAGTACACACAGGCACCCAGATCCCTACTTCAGTTTACACTGTGCCCATGATTGAATTTATTTCACAGTGGAAAGCCAACGCCTTCCTGGCACATACCGGCAAACATGGACCTCTGTGCTCGAGAAAAAAAAAAGTGGTGTTAAAAGAACGGTTTTTCCCATGACACCGCTATTATTTTAACTACCTTCACTCCTCAGCAATGTTTGTTTTAAAAAGCAATGATTAGAATTTTAATAAAACATGAAAGTGAATTTATACATTTTCTTTGTCCTTGAGAATTGACAACAAAAATAAAAATCACTATTTATTTTATTAGATTGTTTATTGGAATGGTTGTCAAAACATCACCTAATTGTCAATTGATTTGAACTTTATAAAATGTTAAATAATAAGTTATTATATACTTATAGTTACTTATAGTTGGCTCACATTTTAATAATTTGTTTCCATATTTATTTCTTTATAAATTGATAAATGATAAATATTGCCTTGGATTAATTTTAATTGTATTCATTTTTAGAATGCTGTAAATATAAAATTATTCTTGGAAATAAGCAATCTAATAAATAGTGTTTAATATTTTTGTTGTAAATTCTCAAGAACAAAAAAAAATTTTTAAATTCACTGTCACTTTCATATACTTAGGTTTTATTACAATTCTAATCATCGCTTTTTAAAAAAATAAACATCACCAAGGAGTGAAGGTAATTAAAATAAAAGAGATAGCAATTAACCCTAGCCTTGAATAGGTTAAGATTGTAGTGATCGAGGACACGTCCTGTTGGTAGTTGATTCCACAGTGGTTCTTTGCTGTAATGGATAGTGGCTCGGAATGAGAATTCAGAGGGCTGCATTTTAATTCCAGTTGGGTTTGTTACATTAACTTGTATGCAAATAACCTTAGGAAAGGTATGAACCCATCTCCTCCAGCTATGGGTTAAATAGTAGGACTTGAAATTAGGAAAAAATCATTATCTTCCAAAAATTGTTAATGCAATATTCATTTGCAAAAAAAAAAAAGAATTATTTTTGTAATCCAAAATATGTTCTGGTTTGAACTAGCACAGAAAGGGTTGATAAGTCATAAAAAAAAATCAATGTATGTTCACTATTTGTAGGCATTGTGTGATTAATTAATTACGCAATTAAATTGCTATTTAAGTAAAAGGAAGTTTAATTCAAAAACTGAACAGTGAGTCAATATTATTTACACAATTTAGATTCAGACTATTGTCCTTATTTTTGTTGTTGTTATCACAACGTTTCAGTCATTGTGCTCTCTGGTCTTCCTCAGGTGTATATCGATCTGGGTAACCTACAGGGATTTCAGCAGCAATCAAAACATGGGCAACAGCAACATGGCAGATGGCAGCAGCAGCAGTTGCAACTTAATCAGCAGCCAGGTTAGGTTTAAGGCTCTAAGTTCACTACAGCAAAATTATCCTATAGATGACCTAGTGAATAAAAAAGCATTGTTTTGTGATTTTGCTGACATAGTGATTCTGAGTTCAATCCCTGGGTTGAGCAGTGTGTACTTGCGTTCAGTGGAACTGAACAGTACTAAATAAAAATAAGGACTAGATGAGATATTCCTAGCCATGTGTAGTGGAAAGAGGACAATCTATCCCCATAGATTAAATGAATGGTTCAGTTCAGAATTCTCTGCAGGTTACCCAGATTGATATACACCTGAGGAAGGCTTGGGGGGGTATAGAAGCCAAAATGTTGTGATAAAAACAACAAAGATGAGGACAATAGATCAATTATAAATAGTGCAAATAATTGTTGTAACCTAGGAAAGGTTACTGAATAGAATACTCAAATGGAAGTTAATAATGAATGATAATACTTAGGACACAAACAACACATACAAGATTTGCCAGCGGTGCATAGAAGTAGTCAACTGCTAGAAGTGAGGCAAGGGAATTCCACAATGAATCTCCAACTGCAGAATATCTACCATGCGGTCAGATTTGGCACAAGGCCAAATTTAATGTAGGGTATTCGAGCCTGTAGGCTTGGCAAAAAATTCCCTGTATAAAACAGGGTCAGATAGCTGTTTCCCGAGATGAGACTCTGCCCTTTGACATAGCATCGTCTGGTGATCTTCTCTACCTGGAGGCAGAGAGTTTTAGCAGCACAGCTGGAGACGGATCTCCAACTGCAGACCATGTACAGTATTTACTACTGTATTTATGGGAAGTGGGGGGGTATACTCATTATCGTCCATAGGTATGTTACAACAATAATGATAACTCCCCATTCCAGAAATTCAAACAAAGTGAGTCAATCTCTTTTTCAGTGTAGATCTTTGTCAATCACATTTCCATCATTTCAGTCAGAAGTTGAAATCATCGTAAAGTGCAGTCTTAAGTTATTATTAATTTCTTTAAACTACTTTTGCTTAATCCATGAATTTTTTATTGCCTTTTCAACAGGTTATTCCATTAAAATTCTTTTTTTTTTTCTTTTAATTTTGTCATTTTAGGGAAGTCATTTCAGCAAATTCGGTTTCCGCACTGAAACCACAGGGAGTGTTCATTTGAGCCTGAATGTATTGATGCAGTCAAGGTAGGTACAGAGCATTCAGTGATTGATAATATTAAGTTACGTAAAAGCAGATATTATCTTTTATTCAGGGTATTAAAGTAATTGTGTCTTTTTTTTTTTAATCATTTCACCCCAAGCAAGGCAATAATGCCATTAAGATGCAAGGAGCTACTGGGTGTGAAAGAGAATGAGAAGACTTTAGTGAAGAGAAAGGACAATAAAAGAACAGGTGTGAAAAGATGGCTATTGATGTTGCATTTAAATTTTTTAAGATCAAAGTTGACAGGAAAGCAAGAAATTAGATGAGAGTTTCTCAGACGAGAATCAAAACTATTAGAATAGAACCTACAGTTACATCTCACTATTTCAACAATAGAACGATAAGACCTATTGGCTAATCTGGAACAGTCAAGGAAAACAAGATGGAGATCTCATTAAAATAATCATGATGAAAATATTTATAAAAAAGACATAAGGAAGCCATTTCACAATGGTGAGTCAAGATGCTAGGTCAGGACTGATAATATTACAGATGCTTTTTTTTTAATTATTTCACACTAAGCAAAACAATAATGCTATTACGACACCAGGGTTTACCGAGAGTGAAAGAGAACAAAAAGACTTTAGTGAGGAAAAAGGAAAAGAAAAGGACATGGTTCAGGAAGGCAGAAGATGGTGATAATGTCACTAAGACACCAGGGTTTACTGGGAGTGAAAGAGTTATGAAAAGACTTTAGTGAGAAAAAAGGACAATAAAAGAACAGGTTTCAGAAAAACAGAAAATGGTGATTGACATTGCATTTAAATTTTTGAAGATTGTAGTGGGCAGAGAAGCAAGAAACCAGTAGAGATCAGAGGCGATAAGTGTGTGTAAAGAAACCATCTGAATAGAACATATGGTTGCATCTTGCAAGATCAACATTAAAATGGTGAGACCTAGTTGCCAATCTAGTAGCATGCTTAAATTCATGCAGTTGAGGAACCAAGGAGGAAAGGTCATCAGAACAATTGTTTTGAAAATATTTGTAAAAATGACAGAGGGAAGCCATATCACAGTGATGGGGAAAATGACTGAAGTCAAGATGTCTGATTCGTACCAAATTAGATTACAGACTCTTCTTTGGATTTTGTTGAGAATCTTGAGATGTATAGCAGGTGCAACCAACAAGACATGACAGCAATATTCAGTGCACAAACAAATGGTAGATTTATAAATATGCAAGATGTCTGGAATGATGCAGTGAACCAGCTTTTCTAGCAATTGATTCAATATAATCATTCCACTTCATGTCAGTGGAAAACATGAGCCCCCCCCCCTCCCACTCCCAAAAGTATAAATAATTGTCTTTCTGATGGAAAGCAGAAAGGTTTCTCTGTGGTGGTTAAATGAAAGCAGTTTTGTTACAGAGTTAAAATGACAAGATATTCCTTGTCCCATTTGACCACTGATTAAAGGCCATTGTTTAAAGTTATCAGATGTTAAATTCAAGCATTATAATGAATGTTAAACAAAGATTGGGCGGCATTTACCATAATTAAACTGCTTGTTTTATCAATAGCTACATGCAAAATACATGTATCGGAAAAACTCTCACAGTTAAAACCAGTGTTCCGATCAATGTTTTTCTCAATTTGAAAAATTCGGACATTAATATCAAATCAGTGGATGTTTATTTATATTTGGACTCGTCTTCATCTTTGTCATTGTTATCTCGACATTTCAGCTATTGTGCTCTCTGGCCTTCATCAGGTATATATCCTATGGAACAATAGCCTAGTAGTTCAATATATATATATATATATATATATATATATATATATATATAGAGAGAGAGAGAGAGAGAAAGATAGAGAGAGAGAGAGATTTAATAGGCAAGTTAATAAAATTTGAGGAATAAAAAGCCAACAAAATGAGAACAATATTGGCAATATGATTAATGATATTTATCACATATTAGTCTTTTAACTAAATTGAAACACAAAGAGAATGATTTTAAAGTCGGTATTTTCAGGACATGCCTGTGTCTTTTTTCAATGAGACAAGGATGAAACAAAGAATGTTACTGCTGTTGGTTAGAGGTCTCCCTGTAGAAATTATATATTTTGAATAAGCCCAAATCTCTGTTTAATGCTTCAATGTGTGATTTTATTTTGGAAATATATTTCAACTCTGATCTGCGTCTTTCTTGTCAGCTGTTGAATGAAGATGCTAAAAGCATGGATTTGATGTCATTATGAAACAGTTGGTTGAAAGTGTGCAGTGACAGGGAAACTGTTGTTGTCTTTGATGGTTTTTTAATGGTTATTGAACCAAAGATAGAATTGCGTGCCTGTTTCTCTAACATAATTCCCTTTTTTGCATTTGTGACAGAAAAGTAAATATATAAAATTTGAAATGACACAAGTCAAAGCTGGTGGTTTGAACAGAGTGTGATTACCGTGTGATGGTGGTGAAATTGCTATCAGGGATGATATGTTTACAGACTTGGCATTGGGGATTATTACAGGTGATATTCCCTTGGTGAGGTGGTGAATTATGTATGTCGGATGATGTTAGGAGTGTGTGTAGATTTGGGGGGGGTGATGCCAAGCGTAAATTGAGTTCTTGCTGAATATCTTTTTAATTGTTTGGTTGAGTTTTAAATACTGGAAATCTTTTGCAATGGTATGGGAAATCTTATGAATATTGGAATTAAAATAAAAACCATGGGAATTCTGAAATTATTCTTTTTTGTTTTATAGATTTTTGTCCAGTGATTTTTGCTAATGCCCAACATGTTTGACTTGTACAAGAGAACTTATTATTAACTGAGAGAGTTGTGCTCTCAGGCATTTTGTTTTCATTTTTAACTTTCATCTGGTTTATGCAAGTGCTGTCCATGAACAATATAGCCCACTGACTAGAACTAGCCTACAATAGACAAATTTTCACCTGACAAAGATATAGAATTTAGAGGTTGGTTGTTTGGTGTATTGCCAGTTTGTGTATGTTCCCATATGAGAAACAAAAAAAAGAAACATACAAAATTTGAGTTTCTACCATGAACCATTTATTCCATTTTATGGTGACTATATGGAAACAAAGTTCTTAATGTCTGTTGGGTATGTCTGTTTTCTTTTTTGGTTCAGAAGTAAGTTAGGGTAGGTCAGGATTATAATGGCTAAAGTGGTTGAATTCAGGTCAGCTTTGCATGGAGTTGGAATGACCCAACCTCATGAGTGGAGGTGAAAGGCACTTCCAGATGCTCTGCATGGGAAGGTGGTAAGAGAAATTTCGGTCCTTCCTGAAAGTGAGGTCATAAAATTGCATAGATGACCAAAAACCATTTCTAGTTTCTTTACTACTTTCATTATGGAAAAATGTATTTCTTTTTCATTTTTTTTTTTTTTTTTATTTTTTATTATTATTTCATTTATCGATTTTATTTAGTTTCCCCTCAAAGGTTAGAAAATGGACCAGCTGAAAGATGACCAAAAATAAAAGAAAAAAAAAATGAATCAAAAAACAAATTACAATGATGATGATGATGAGAAAAGACAAAATAAAAACATATACATATATATATTAGTAACTCCTTTCAGTTACAAAGAAAAATACTTCTTACATTACATTTATATTGTATTATAATTCTGGCTGTTAGTATGAGATATTTAGAGAGAATATTTCTGATAACTACTTTAATTGTTCCAGTCGGATGATGGAGTAATGGATTGAGGAATCAGAGAGCCGAGTTTGAATTCCACTCAAATTCATTACATTCACTTATGTGCTAATACCCTTGGGAAAGGTATAATCCTCTTCTTCTCCCCCCAGCTATGGGTAAATAGCAGGACAGACCGGATTTTATAGTCTTGGATAGTAACTGGTCTACCGCAGGAAGAAATGGCAACCTAGTGTGGGAAAAAATCTTCCTTGTCAGTCATGTATCGAAAGATACATGATTGCCTAAGCGTGTATCACGCATGGCACATAACTGACTGAAGCTATGAGCACTTGACCATTTAAAAATATTTGCTGTCATTTGTAATATCTTCTGTGAGTTGCATCTGGTCCTTGAAGTATTTCTCATGACTTTTCTTTTAAGCCACTAAGACGTAACGTTTTACTGAGTGTGAGAGATTATGAGAAAAAGAAAACATCATTAAAGAAAGAGAACAATAAAAAAACAGGAAGATAACGATTGGCATTGCATTTAAATATTTGAAGATCAAAATTGACTGGGAATTAAGAAACTGGAAGAATGTTCTATAAACTAAAAGCATGGAAGAAAAAATAAAACTTCAATTATAAAATAACGAAACCTTAGCACCAATTCATAAAGTTTAAGTACCAAAGTGGAAAGCTTATCAGAACAATTAGCATGAAAATATTTATAGAAAAGGTTATGTTACAGTGCTGGGAAAGTGACTGAAGTCGAGATGTCAGGTCAGGACCAATAATATTGCATATTATTCTTTGTATTTTATTAAGAAAGAAAATTCACATTAGAAACACCAGATCAAATGTAGCAGCAATATTTAATGCATGGATGAATGGTAGACTTATAAATGTGTAAGATATATGGTCTGGAGCCCCTTCTGTTTGCCTCGGGGTTCTTGATAGGCTCCAGAGGTGGATATGCAATATAATTGGCCCTGTTCTGGCATCTCATCTACAGTTGCTCTCTCACAGACGTGCCGTCGCCTCTCTCTGTCTGTTTTACAAATACTTTCATGGCAATTGCTCCGAGGAGCTGCATTTGCTGGTTCCTAGACTTCATGAGTTCAAGCGCCCTACGAGGCTGGCATCCCGCTCTCACCCTTTCACTGTCAAAATTCCTAAATGTAGCCATCTCTTCTACTCCAATAGCTTCATGTATCGCACATCTCACCTGTGGAACTCCCTCCCATATTCCAGTTTCCCTGAGAGCTATAATCTCCAGCTATTCAAATGTAATGTCAATCGACATCTCCAGTCGCCTTGATCTATCCACTACCCTTCTCCTCATCCTTTATTCTATCACTCCTATCTGATCTTGCTC